AAGATGTTAGCTGTGTGCTGACTGTCGTGGCGTCACCGACTTGTTGATATGTGTGCGGCATGATCATACCTTCAAGGCTAAAGTTAGAGAACAGTTCCAAGTTTCCAAACTTGTGAAGGTAAAAGCCAAAGTGGTACGTGAACACGTGCGAGTAGGAGATGGCGCTGGTTGGGCCATACAGCGCGGCTAGATTGCTCATCCATACTTTGGCCATGGATATCCAATGCTTCTCTGAGATCTTGCGGCTCTTCTTCACATTGAACGCAACGTTCAACAGTGAGTAGAGTTGAGCCCACGCAGTTCCAACAGCGACTGCTCTGAGACCCTGTCCTTCGGTACATCGTTTGAAGAGGTCAATGAGTTTCTCGTAGTTGAAGAGGATCTGCTTGCACTCCTCAAAGTTCACCCTAGAGTGTCTGAATCGCTCCACAAGGCTAGCCTCTCCCTCTGGATAAGTAATAACTTGATCCCCTTGAAGGTGTTCCAGACATCTGTCTCAACAGTCTGCAGGGGTACTCGGCCTCTGTATTTCATAATGTCGATCAACAACCACCTGGTCTGTAGTTTGATCAATGACATCGCCACGTGCAGAAGGTCTGGAATGAATGATTTCATGGTAAGGAAATCAAGTATTGGATGATGCTGGATGTTGTAGTTTGTTAGCAAAAATGTCTGATTGTGATTTAATGATTGATCGCGATTGGATGTGATGAATGAGCAGAGTTGAGTGAGTGAATGATTGAGTGAGTGTCTTACCTTGTGGCCGTAGGCCAATGCTGGGTTCTTCTCGTTTGGTTTAACACCTGATAGTAGTCGTTGTTGGTGACTTGGAATTGAACGTAGGATTGAGCGCTGTTGATAAATAATAGAGGTCAGGTACCTCATCACTGTTCTTGTAATATTTCTGTTGAAGAGTATCTTGGTTAAACATGCTGCTGATAAACTTCGCCACCTGCATTGCATAGCTCACTTGATACACATACCTTCAAGATAGTGAGGGCAGGAACAGCTGCCTTCTTGACAATTTCTGGATACTTGTTGGCCTTCTTCTTTGATTGCATGGCCTCAAGATGATTGAACATGTACTCAAACATAGGATAGGCGATCGAGAGGTTGGCATTGGCATGTGACACTTCCAACGTGACTCTATAGAATGGCTGCAAGACCTCAAAGAGGGTGCGCGCAAGTTCCCATTCATCCTTGCCAAGAGCGTACTCAGCGTATTCCTTTTGAGTGAAGACCCTCTCGAGGGTTGCACGAATCGCCAATGCTCTTTCAAGGACCAAGTACTGACTGTTCCATCGTGTTACAACTATCATCTTGGGTAGCTTGATCCTGTCTTTGTTTCCAAAAGGAATATAGTCACTGCATTAATCAAGTTAGCAATGCTATGTAAGTGAGTGAATGATCCACGCATGAACTTACAACTTGTAGCTCTCTCTTCTCTGGGGTGAACCTCTGATTGCAACAGCGATGCCATGCAGCTTGGAAAGAACAGTGCATGCCTCCAAACCTTTGATGAACTCCTGGACAACAAGGTTGACGATGTGGGCGGTGCATCCAATGTGGGACTCCAAGCCTTTGTAGGGAAGCTTGCGGGCATCCAATATCTCTTTCAAGGACTTGGAGAAGGTGAAGTTGTTACTGGCATTGTCACTAATGGTAGCAAGGCATCTGTCAGTGATGCAGTACCTCTGTAGTGTCCTATAGAATGCATCTGCAATGTTGAGGCCTTGGGTGAATGTAAAGTTAGTAACATATTCTACCTCTGCTCATTGTATCTCTCCAGTGGAGAGTGCACTTGTTGCCCGATGATGATTGCAACAGGAGTGTGTTGTTGTTGCGGTTCGCTGTGCTTTGTTTCTGTTATTGTGTTACATACCAGACACTTCAGCGATGTCTGCAGGACTGATGGTGATAGATGACCCCCAACACACTCACAACTAGGTGGTGGGGGTAGGGCGCATCCATTTTTGGTCGACAAAGTTTTTCCTCTTAAGGTAATAAATGCGAAGACAGTTCATGTTGTTGCTGACCCCCACCATAGTACCCATTCTCCATTGTGAAAAACAAGTACAAGAAAGGTGTTTATTCGATAATATTATCATAACTATCATACTTACATACATATACATATACATATACATACATATAATACATACATACATTTACATACATTTAGACTTATAATATCTATAAAGTTAATACTATGTTATATCCTAAAGATGCCAACTCCAAGACATGGAACATCATTTTAAACTTGATAGCAAACGTGGAATGATGAAGGAGTTAAAGAAGTGGCACGGTGTAACAATCAACAGCAGCAGTAGTAGTAGCAGTGACAATGGTGGCAGCACCAGCACACACTCGCTTGGTAATGATCGCAGCGGTGGATCATCGAGCCAACCAATCAGTCATTCAGTGCCCAGCAACAGCAGTGGATACACTCAATCGATCCGCGAGCCAACCTGTCAGTCAGTCAGTGACTAGTAGTAGTGGATTCACTAATCGATCTGCGAGCCAACCTGTTAGTCGTGTTGTATATCTTCCATCGAGCAAACCTACCAGCCAACCAACGTGTCGAGTGGTGTACCCTACCAACAGTAGTAGTAGTAATARTAGTAGTAGTAGTACAACCAGACCAATTGTATTAGGGCACAACSGCTCATCCGCCATTAATKCCCTACTGGAGGCTGCAGTCATTGATTTGTCTGAGGACACTGATGATATGCTATTGGAAGAGTTTGAGAACCCAGCTGTCGACTTGTTGAGGGCACCGATGCAAGAGCGATTTGGAGTTAGTGATTGCTCAATCAACAACAACAACAACAACAACAACAACAACAACAACAGCAACAGTAGCAGCAGTATCCGTGATCCTGTCGAGTGTACTCACATAGGCTGTGGAACCATTTTGAGCAAGCACAACTTACCTGCTCATCTACGGAAGGGACATCATCAATTTAACAATCTCTGTGAAGGTTGTCGCAGGATCAAAGAATTGGATGAGAGGCTGGCCGAGAGAAAAAGACTGTGTCTGGAGGCGGCTAGTGTAAACGAGGAAGGTAATATATATATATCAGCAAGAGACTGGACTGCAACAGGTGTTGATCAAAGAATATATATACTTACATGGACCTATTCAAACAACAGACAAGATAAGTCCTGAACTGGCTCTCCTGAACATGTTGAGGAGTAAGGAGAACAGAGAGGAATACAAACAGAGGGCAAAGGAGTCAAGAGGGAGAATGCCACTGCTCACACCTGTAGAGAAGGTGAAGAAGAGTAAGGATCAGTAAATGTTGGTGAGGATATTAACTCGTTGCTAACATTGATGACCGGCACTTACTACAACAACATACAGATATGATAATGGAACTGGAGCCTTACATGAGCTGGAGTGATGGGTCTTGCAAGGTCTCTATGATGATGATAGGTTCGTGCTGTACTCCAACACTGGAACAATCCAACAAGATGTATGGAGTTGTGGTCTTTGGTCAATCTTCTATGTTGGATATGTTATCAAGAGGTGGAAATGCTTCCGAGGAAGGCAGTGTACACAACAAGTTCGTGGCATTATCAAGAAACTGGAGTCAAAGAAGCCTGAGCAGGTCATTGATTCTGTGCTCGACATTTACTTGGCATCGTTCCTTGACAACCATCACACTTCTGGAGGCATCTATGACATTGCAAACGTGGACGAGACCACTCCAATAATGACATCAAAGAAGAGAAAGGCGATGGGATGCACTGCTATATCAGATACATCGACAAAGAAGAGTCGTACGACAACCACGACAACAACAACTACTACACAAACAAAGAAACCAACAAGGTTGTCACTACTTCTCAACAACACCAGCAACAACAATAACAAGCAGCGAGTAGCGACAGACAAGGGCAAGATGACAGCCACCCAGAGTAAGGCGACACAAACAACAACAACAACTACTACAACAAAGAACAGTGCTAATAAACATTGATACAGTACGTTTCATAAGTTATGGCCACCCCCTGAGCAAACAGATAGGTGATTGATATCTCTTCAATATTAAGAGATACCAAATGATATCTTATCTCTCTAAATAATAGACTCAATTATCTACTAATCTTGATTGAATTACTTATTGCTAGTTATATTTATTTACAAATAATTGAATGAGAGTGTTGAAATGATAAGTAGTGAACATGGCCATTATTTANNNNACGAAAATTGATCGAAGGTATCGGAACGATGAACTAGAATAATGACAAAGGAGGTTGTCAATATTTGGTCCACCATCCATTCGCTGTTATAATGTCCTCCATTCGTTGTGGCAAGGAGGCGTATAGGTTCTCAACAATGCTGTCATCCATTAGCTCCCATTGTTCATTGGCAAGGTCGGAAAGGACCACTCCAGGGTTCTTTGCCAGCTCTCTCTTGACTCTCTTCTTCAAGATCGCCCAAAGATTCTCTATAATGTTGATGTCTGGTGAATATGGGGGAATGAATAGGGTGGGTATCCTCTTCCTTCTCAAGTGGCTGGTGACATTTGTTGCTCTATGAATTGGACAGTTGTCCATCGCCAGTGTAAAGTCTGGGAGTTGGCCATGATAATATCGGATGGATCGAGAGTATGCATCATCAAGAATCTCCGTGTATTGAGTGTTTTCTAAATTGCCTTCAATCTCAGAGAGATATCCGACACCAGCACTCGTGACACATCCCCAGAAATTGACCTTGGTTCCGGGAAGTCTCCACAACAATTTTATCGTGGTGGTGTCCATGAGGTCCAATGAGGGGCCTCTGGTGCATCTCTCACTCAACAGGGGTCTCAAAAGTGCACAAATGGAGGATCACCACCACTTGAAGGAGTGCTTTATTCAACATTTTATTGATGTTTTGCGTGGTGGTGTCCATGATGGCTTCCAATGTGGGGTCCGCGACGATTGAGTGTTTTGCTCCAAGCCAGTGATCAATCAATGAGGTGTTCGAGGCGATGAATCTGTGTTGCTGTTATGTGTTTGTATGATATGTTCGCTTTGAAGAATGACTTGCTTGCATCCTTCTCATACATTTTAATTCAAAATAATGCAACAATAATTCATCCTCTCATATCAACAACCAAACATGTCCTCACGAGTTGATAAATAATCTGCCACACAAAAATGAATTCGACTCTAAGTCGATGAATCTCACGCAGGAGTTGTATGCGTGGACACCTCCACGATTAATTTGTTGTGCCTGATGCCATGAACTCGACTGAATGTGTTGTTATCTTGTCTAGCCCACTCGTGTTGACGGTAGTTCTTGAAGTTGGACTCAATTGTGGTCTCATCACAGAATACTATCTGTTCCCATTGTTCCGCTGTCCAGTCTCGATGAGCCATAGCGAACTCGAGCCTTTGATCTGCGTTTACTTGCTTTAGATCGTGCTTCCTGCTTAAACTGCGATAGGGGAGACCTTCCTTTGCAGCGATACGAGATATTTGAGCCGTTGATATCTCTGTATCGTATCTCAGTTCAAGTTTGGCTTTCAACTCGTCCAAAGTGATGACCTCCTTCCTGACCAAAGCTTTGATGATCCTCCTTCTAAGTCTTCTTGAAAACTTTGAAGGGCGTCCCGATTTGAGACGGTCCTTGAAGTCTCCTCGCTCGCTGTGTCGTTGAATAGTCCTGCTCACAGTTGATCGGGAAATATTGTACATCTTTGATATTAATTTCTTTGAATATCCTCTCCTTCTGGCTCTCACGATTTTAGCTCTCTCTTCTTCTGTTAATGACATGATTAATTGTAATGTACATAAATAATATTCTATCTCTTCCAACAAAGTGTTTGATGTTTGAACTCATTCATTCTTTACTATTGCATAAATAATGGACATGTTCATTACTTTAACAAAAATATCGTTTGAATGATAAAGATATATTAATTCCATTTTTGGAAAAATATTCATAAATGGAAATTTTTGAACAAAAGTGGACTACTATATTTGGAAGTGAATAAGAATCTTGAACCATATTTGTAGGAGATATCAAACTCGTACCTGTTTGAACAGGGGGTGGCCATAACTTATGAAACATACTGTATGAGTGGTGACAATGATCAGTCTGGTGGTGTTATGTATACTTATGTTGAATCATATCTATATTACATAACTCGACGTTAACTATGTCTTCTACGTGTAGATAATAAATAATGTTTGTTTAGAGTGATAGTGTGAATGTGTGAAGTTGCTCAGCTTGTTGTATGTGGCGCCAGAGTGGGGTTGGGGTCATTTGTGGACCAATGTTTTGCCTTTTATGGTCAAAATATACCCTCAGAATCGCTGAAGTGAGT